TCATATCTACCTGTGATAAAGTTTAATGTATAAAATAGGTACGGTAAGAAACTAACAACAACAAAACAATGCTTATAACAGCATACCATAATAAAAGTTACGTGAATGTGGTCTCTTCCTCCAAAATAATGTATTCAATGTAATATTTTCAGAACTTGGTGGACTGTAACTGAAACTGTAGAAAGTGAAACCAAGGATAAGGAAGACTACTGTAATAAACTCGGTCTTCCTTGGCTCCCAGGGAATTTTCACTCTCCTCCTCCTCCAATATATCCCATACTTTCTTCTCTGTTGTTTTCTCTTGCTTCACTTGCTCTACCAGCCAGAAGTGATTAGATGTTTTCCATATTTGGCTTTGACTCTGTCCTCTTTTTTAAAGAAATCTCTCTTGATCATGTTACCCACCTCTAAAGCGTCAATCACTAAGGAAAATAAAATCTTGTAAGAATGTGTGTGTAATCGAAGGAAAGGGAAGAGATGTTACATTATCCATCTGATGAGGGCTTCTTACCCCTTTTTAGCCATGGACTCCTTTGACAGTCTGATGAAACCTATGCGTCATTCCCTGAATCATGTTTTTAAATTAATATATTCAAATACAGAGGATTGCAAAGGACACCAAAAATGTTAAAGTGACCAGAATATTTTTACAAATACATTTATGTTATGCTCATGTGTATCCTGCAGTCATATTCACGAAATAACAAGATCCAGTCACTACCACAATTTCAAAGTAGTGAGAAAGACTTGGAAATGTTGTCTATAACTGTACCACAAGATGAAAACTGTTAATGGAGACAAAATTGCAGAAGTCATTAATATTCTTATGGTTTGTTGCCTATGTTCATAACCGAAGGGAATTTTACATTTTAGGTAGTGACTAGGAAAATAAAGATGTAGAATTCAAGCTCATAGATCCCCCATGAATTCTACCCATAGATCCAACTTTAAGAACACCTGGTCTAAAGATTTCCAAAAAAGATTGGGAATCGTGACTTACTTGTAGCCTAAGAGAAGCATAGGGACAGTACAAAGAAGGGGATGTTATGGAGCCATCTATAATTGTACATTTATACTATATTCCTCCCTTCATATGTTTGGTTTATCTGAGCTTCCTGTGTCTCCTCGTCTTTCTCCATATACCCTTTATATCATATCACAGTAAAATTAAAACTAGCTAGTTCTTTATTTGGTGGCAGCTGTTGTGTTTTGGCATTGTTTTGTTGGAAGGATGTTTTTGTTTGTTTGGTGGATTATTTTTTAAATATATCCATCGGTTGTAGGGGAGACAGAAACTACTGATTATCTGGGATTATTTATCCATGCTATGTCTAGCATCTATTAACATAGATAATTGGGCTTTAAATGTGGATAGAATTAAGATATCCAACTTCAGCCTCTGTCTGTTGCCTTCGAAGGCCTCGAGGTGTAGATCAAATAATCCCCTTTCCATCTTGTAACTCTCTCTCCCCTTGGCTTCCTGAAGGCTGCTTCTCCTGGACCCCTCTGGTCTTCCCGCTTCTCTAATGGTCTCTTCTGAATCCTCTCATCAGTTTCACACTCAACCACCAGAAAAATGTAGGCATTTTCTCCACGTTAGGCTTTGGACTGGTTTTCTCATTATCTTTTCTTCTTTGATACTCTCTCTCAATCCCCAATTCACATTCTTTCCCATGTTCCTTGTCACTTTTTTTTTTTTTTTTTTTGAGACGGAGTCTCACTCTGTGGCCCAGACTGGAGTGAGTGGCGCGATCTAGGCTCACTGCAAGCTCCGCCTCCTGGGTTCATGCCATTCTCCTGCATCAGCCTCCCCAGTAGCTGGGACTACAGGCGCCCGCTGTCACGCACAGCTGATTTTTTGTATTTTTAGTAGAGATGGGGTTTCATCGTGTTAGCCAGGATGGTCTCGATCTCCTGACCTTGTAATCGGCCCACCTCAGCCTCCCAAAGTGCTGGGATTACAGGCGTGAGCCATCGCACCCAGCCACTTGTCAGTTTTAATGGATCCCAGCTCCCCACCTCCCAGCTGAGATTTTAACGACACCCAACATGTATTCTTTGGACACTCACTATGCACAATTATACTATAGTATATAGTTATGTTAGGCACTGGGCATACAATTCTGGACCAACGAAACAGGTTTCTGCCCTCGCACACCCTATAATCCATCAAGGAAGGCCTTAATCAAGTAATTTCAAGAGTGAGGTGTAGGATGAAAGAGGAGAAGCAGGTCACTACAGAAGTTGATATTAAGGGGATCTAGCCTAGTTTGGGGGTATAAGGAAGCCAATCAGAAGAAGTGGAGCTTCGATTGGAACTTTAAAAGTTAACTGGGAGATGACTCAGTAACCAGTGTAGGAATTGGGATTAGGACAATGCATGTGAAATGCAGAAGTCTAGAAAAAATAACGGGGAAGGAAGAAAAGATGTCAAATATGGCTGTGGTATGGAATCCACAAAGGGCATTTGAATCCAGTGAAGTTGCAGAGAGGCAGGCCAGGCTGGTAAACACTTGTCAATCATGTGGGGGCGGGTCAAGGTCATCATCCTAAAGACAGTCGGGAAGTTTCATTAGGCAGCAGGCAGAGTGTCCGGATTCACAATTTTAAAAGATTAACCCAACTCTAGTAGGGAAAATGGTTTGGAGAAGGGCAGGAACCCATGTGAGGAGACCATTGGAGGTGGTTATGGAGCCCAGTTAAGAGACAGTATGTTGGTTTGCAAGAAAATTTGAGTCTCCATTGTTTCTGCTTTACCTGCCCCTCAAACCTTTAAGATTTGACCTTGAAAATGTCCACTGCATGCTGCTTTTCATTCCCATTGAACAAATTCAAGCTTCTTTTTTTCCCCTGGACTATTGCAGCAGCTTTACTCTCTACTGACTTATCTTCTATTTCCTCTTTCTCCATGCCAGTGGCGTACAGGTGCGCTGTCAGACTTAGTCCCCTAAAACACACTTGGTTGCTCTCAAATGCATCAAAATTAAGTCCAAACTCCTCTCCCTTGCTCACAACCTCTACAGTGTGGTCCCTACATATGCTTCCAGCTTTCTCCACTATCACAAGCTCCTACCGTAACTTTCCAACTTCATGTTCCCCTTGGCTCACTAACTCACAAATATCCAGACATGCTCTGTTTTACAAACTCCTCCCTCCCTCCTAGACTATCATTCTCTTCCAATGCACTCATTAAAAATTTTCATCTTTGAAGACTAATTTCAAGCCCAGCTTCCTCTAGATTTCAAGCCCAGCTTCCTCCTAGATGTCCCCAATCAGAATTTTTCCTTTCTGTCCATGTTCCAGTGATTATTTAAGTGATGTGTTTTCCCTCTAATTAAGCTTCTTACCCTTGCCTCACCATTTATTAGGGTCTAGCTCCTATTTGAGTCAGTATGTATGAGAGAGAGGCTTTTGCACTAAATTATAAGTTTCTGAGGGCTAGAGAGATTTGTGGTAGTCATTTCTGTGTTGCACATAGTGATTTGCCTGCCCTGTGCTTATAAAGGCTCAACAAATGTTAAATAAGTTTTTGGGTGGTGGTAGGCTGATCGGACCCCAGAATTGCACATTTATCTGAATCACATACCCAGAACCCATTCTGGTTGTAATATTCTAGGTTGATCAAATGCACAGGAACATTTTACTAGCAGTACTGTTTTTGTTTCAAAAGCTGGCTAAATGCAACAAGTCTCAGTAAGAGTAACAATTCAGTATTTTATTGAGAAGTGCTGAATTCTTTGTTGAAAGCTGAAATTTATTCTATAAGTATTTCATGAGCCCTAATTATGTCTCTGGCTTTGTGCATACAACTATGCAAATCTGTGTCCTGGGAGCACTTAACTGGTATTTTCATAAGGACTTGGGGTTTTTCCATCAAGAATTGCAGGAGGCTGGGTGCAGTGGCTCACGCCTGTAATCCTAGCACTTTGGGAGGCCAAGGCAGGGGGATCATGAGAGGTCAGGAGTTCGAGACCAACCTGTCCAACATGGTGAAACCCCGTCTCTATGAAAAATACAAAAAAAGTTAGCCAGGCATGATGGCAGGTGCCTGTAATCTCAGCAACTTGGGAGGCTGAGGCAGGAGAACTGCTTGAACCTGGGAGGAGGTTGCGGTGAACCAATATCGCACCAGTGCACTCCAGCCTGGGCAACAGAGCGAGGCTCCATTTCAAAAAAAGAATTGCAGGAGAATATACATTAATAAATAAAGCTTAATAAAGCTGAAAAAAATAGTTCATTCCTTTGGTCAGAAGTTATCTGTCACCTAACCCAGAAGTGAAAACAATGCAGCCAAGGAACGGTATGACAATACAGTGGATATATTGTCAATACAATAAAAAGTATAAAAAGAGAAAACAAACTTATTAGAATATTGCTGATTGCAGTTTATTTAGGGCTTATTACTATAATGTTATCGTTTTCTTAGCTCTAATATTAATAAAGCCCTGAAACAAGCAGGTTTTATAATTTTCTTCTCAGTGTCACTTTACACCACAGGCTAGGAAGCATCAATAGATGCTCAGCAGTAATAACTGCATTTATTGAGTTCCAGTATATGCCCCACATTGTTTTAGAAACTGGAGATAGGCAAAACTCAATTTATAGTCTCAAATAGCTTGCAAAGTAGTATCTTATATAGGAATCGAATTGCTTCCAGGAAATAATAAGGGAATATATTACTAGAAGAAGATGCTTGTATAGGAAGCTCACAATTTTTTTCCAGGCTAGATTGAAACTGGACATTAGAGACATACTCTGTGATTTTCTGAAATATGAGTGCTAACTATGGAAAAAATAGACCAGAAACTCTCAGAACACAGATTAGTAGAGGTTAAATGTAAGAAGACTTTTGTGGGGAAAAAAAATGTAAATGATGAGGAGAGAATGCATTCAGAATGAGTAAAGAGTACTTTTTTAGATGTTTGCTGTATGCCTGTATAAAGATCTGTGGCTTCAAATTTGACTAGATTTTGTTTTTGTTTTTCAAAATCTTTTCTAAGAATTGCCCTGGTGGAAAATATTCCTGAAGGCCTTAACTATTCAGAAAATGCACCATTTCACTTATCACTTTTCCAAGGCTGGATGAATTTACTCAACATGGCCAAAAAGTCTGTTGACATAGTGTCTTCCCATTGGGATCTCAACCACACTCATCCATCAGCATGTCAGGTAAGCTACATCCTCTGTGTGTGTGATGATTTTACTTATGTGCATTTTCCACTCCTTAGTATTCTGCTCCTCCACTCCTCAAACTCCAGCTCATTTCTTTTAGTCTACCCGCACCCAGAGTACATGTACATTATTACATTTATGTAGATGTGCCGTTGTTAATCATATGTCACTCCGCTCCTACTAGAATGCCAGGTTTGCAAGGACAAAATCGTGTTTCATCTTTGCCCACAATCGGCTCTTTATACAGAATTGCTGTGTTGCACAACTTCAGGGCGTGCTATTTACGTGATAATCTCTGTCAATGGCATGGTCCAGAATTCTGCTTTGCACAACCTGCATGTTTACAGGTCTAATTCTGTAACTGCCTGCTGAGGCATTTATTTGGTTAATTTGTGTTACAATCCACCTTTCGAGTTATAATTCACCCACAGCCACTTTTTTTTAATAGTAGAGTGAAATTTCCCAGGATAGTTGTTTTTTCTAGACTGTCATATTTGGATGAATGGGAAAAAGAAATATGCTTATTTCTTTTAAAAAAAATAAGGCTTCGGAGAACTACCTTTAGAAAACTGACTTAATGATCTAAACGATTTCTGAATAAAATGCTCTGGGTGTAAGAAAATGGTGCTGGTGATTTTAGTGTGTTTTCTTTATATTGATACAACCATGATAGTTTATATTAAGCTACCCTATCTAAATATGTAGCCATTGGCCTACACTTAAATGTCATATGTAAGTCAAGGGTAAAATAAATTTTGTTTCCTTTTATGCAAAATGTGTTGGCATTAAGCTTATAATCATGATCTCACTGGTGCTTTGAAAGCTATTGAATCTATTCAGTTACACCATTTTAAAGTCAAAAGTTACTGGAAAATAAAAACAAAAAATACAAAGGCCATAACTAAAGAAGAATGGAATGAGTTTACTAACTGTGTTCTACACTTTTCCGTCTCTACTAAAGTTTAAGTAAGTGTTTCAGGATTTATTACTCCATAATGTCTCCTAAAATGTAGTGCTTTAAAGCAATAGTATCTATTTGTTCTTGATTCTGGGCAGGGTTTGGCAGTGAGGACTTACCTCTGATCCGTATGGTGTTGGCTGGGGTGGGCTGCCTGGGGATGGAGAATCCTGGATGGCTTTCCTCACATATCTGGTATCTCAGCTGGGGTGACTGGAACGTCTGGGATGGCTGAGTCTCTCTGCATGTTCCGTCATCATTCAGTAAACAGTCCCGAGCTCTTTACGTGGTGGTTGGATCCTCAGAAGGCAAAGAGCTCTGGAATCCTAGCATGCTGCTCCCAGTCTATTCCATTGGTAGAAGCATGTCTCAAGTCCAGGAGGGAGGAGCAACATCCACGTACAGGAATGAGGATTATTGGCGGCCATCTTTGGAGATAACATACCACAGCCCAGTCTGTGGCCGTAGCAATTCATAGCTGTCTTTTACATGCAAAACGCATTCACCTCATTCCTCAGAGTGAGAATTCTACTACACCAAGGCTCTGGAGCGAAGCCAGAGGTCACCTCCAATACCCCTTTCGCTTTATGCGGGCTTTTTGGCTAGATCTAGAAACCAAATTGACACCAGGCAGCTTAGCAGGAGAAAAGTCTACAAATTTTATTAGTTTTACTCGTACATGTGGATCTTCACAAGAGAGTGAAGTCCAAAGAAGTGGCCAAAGTAAGATGGTTTTATACTTTTTTGACAAAGAACAATAAATCTGAGAAGACATGACAGGACAAAGGGGATCTGTGTGGGGGCAGTCAATTTCTAGGGGAGTCACTAGGAGATATGGAAGGGGTATAAAACTAGTGGGAGATAGGGTTACTTCATTAAGTGTGTTTATTCAGGTCCATGGCAGCCCCCAGTTTCCAGTCTCTGGTGATAAGGGCTATTTTCTCACCCTGGTACAGGTAGGGTGGGCTTCTCAGAAGAATCTTTATGGTTTGTTGCATGCGGAAAGAGACAGGTCAGCTATCCTTTACTGAACTACAATTTTCCCAGTGTTTTCCCCTTGAAATAATCATCAATATACCAACCTGACATATTTTGAGATGGCACATCCTTCACTCCTACAGTTCAAAATCCAGAGTGTGTTTATTTGCATCGGGTCTGGATCTGAGTGAGGCTCCTCATGTGGGCTTCTCTTTATTGGAAACATGTAAAAAGAGTAGTTACATGCCCCCTAACACACATGCCAAATGTAAAATGGTAAGATGGGGTAAGATACCTAGAGATACTTTTTTCAAAAGGGGTAAATGGAGAGTAGAAGATTGCCCCCTGGAATGTATGAACCAGGGGAAATAAGGCTGCAGACTGGCTAGCTTGCATATGAAAGCCTGGCTGAGCCATTTTTATCTCTAGGCATTGGCTAACCCTTTGCGGGGGCAGTCTTTTCCCAGCTGGAAAGGGGGGTGTGTGTGCGCGTGCACGCGCTCATGTATGTGTCCATGTGTGCGTCTGTGTGTGACAATGCGTGCATTTTTAATTGATGCATAATAGATGTACATAGTTTTGGAGTACATGTAATAATTTAATACATTATTATAATTTGTAAAGATCCAATCAATGTACTTGGGGAATCTGTCACCTTAAACATTTCTCTTTTCTTTAGGCTAGAACCTTTCAAATTCTTCCCTTCTACTTATATTTTTATATGCTATGTTATGTTACGTTACGTTACGTTACGTTATTTTTGGAGACAGGGACTCGCTGTGTTGCCCAGGTTGGAGTGTAGTAGTGCGATGTTAGCTCTCTGCAACCTCCACTTCCTGGGTTCAAGCAATTCTCCTGTCTCAGCCTCCCAAGTAGCTGGGATTACAGGTTTGTGCCACCATGCTCAGCCAAGTTTTCATATTTTTAGTAGAGACGAGGTTTCACCATGCTGGCCAGGCTGATCTCAAATTCCTGACCTCAAGTGATCCACCCACCTTGGCCTCCAAAAGTGTTGGGATTATAGGCATGAGCCACTGCACCCGGCCCCCTTCTACTTATTTTGAAATGGAGAATAGATTATTGTAAATTATAGTCACCCTACTGATCTATCTAATGCTAGGTCTTATTTCTCCTACCAAACTATATGTTTGTGTCTGTTAACATCTTTTCATCCACTTCCAACACTTCCCAGCCCAGAAAGGCTTTTTAAAATGTCAAAGTGTCATGATATACAGAAAATTCAGAAAATTATATGCAGTACAGAGCCCTTTTGTTTGGCTAAGAAGATCCATAGAGACCCACGACCTGAAGCCATTTCTTACTTGAAGAATGTTGTGAGTGGAGAGACCAACCTTGGATTCTCTACATTTTATCTAAATTCTGCATGAAAACGCAGCAATTCCTTCTTCAGTTTATCTCGTTCTTTGTAACCCTTATTATATACTGCAAAAACTTGTAATCTGCCTGAAGAATTTCAGCCGGCTTCACAAGTTCATTAGTTGTATTTTCCATGTTCTGTTTTACAGCAGGTGGTACTATTACAAGCACTCTGTCATTACATAATGCAGATGGCCATTTCTCTAGGCTTCAAAGGAAATTTCCTTACTGTTCTTCCAGCCTTGAATGATAGAAGTAGAGGCCAGCCTCCACCATGACCCAATCCCACATAGCTTTACTTATTTACTTATTAATTTTTTTTTTGAGATGGAGTTCCGCTCTGTTGCCGAGGCTAAAGTGCGGTGGTGTGATCTTGGCTCACCGCAACCTCTACCTCCTGGGTTCAAGCGATTCTCCTGCCACAGCCTCCTGAGTAGCTGGGATTGCAGGCACCTGCCACCACACCAAGCTAATTTTTGTACTTTTAGTAGAGATGGGGTTTCACCATGTTGGCCAGGCTGGTCTTGAACTGACCTCAAGTGATCTACCCACCACGATCTGTCATATGACTTTAGGTAGAATGTTATTGATGTAGAAAGGTAGATGTTAGATGTTATTGATGTAGAAAGATGATAACACTTAGAAGCTTAGTTCAAGTCACTCTCTAACAACTGGCCTGCTGCCAACAAATGGAAGTTTTCAACTTACTGCCTATGACCTAACTATCGTTGAACTCCCAGGCGAGCTTCTAGGAAGAGACCTAGTTTAGAATGTCTTCTGGTAGAGTCATATGCTCCTGCCAAAGAGAGACCTCTTAGCTGCCTTTCATCTCCCTAATAGCACTAGACTTCTGTACAATGTAAAACCAGTTGGTTTTCTGCAGTTTTGAGCCTGATTGTGCTTTGCCTCTTTACAAGGGGGAGATCTGCCTTTGTAAACATGAAGGATAGAGGGGCTTTATCTGCTTTGGGAATTGAATGGATTAAAGGTGTTCTGAGACTGATCTTGCAGTTCTCCCTACACCTGCCTGTCCCTGGCCACGTCCTGTGGGGAAGCAATAATGTTTGGAGGGTTCTCACTTCAATGCGGTAGTGGAATTTCTCTTCTTCCTCTAGTTTGTTGGCGGCCAAGTGACTGTTTCTGCAGAATGCCATGCCTTTGGTCTCCACTGGCCAAGAGCCAGGCATGGACCATGGTCTTAAAGAGCAAGCATGCAGAATTCAGGGTGTTTTGTTGCCTGACTGGCTACCTTTCACCTTGCCCCTATTCACCTCTCTCAACCCCTAGAGCGGTATGCACAACAGGTTAGCATTAAAAGGTCCGGGGGAACTTATCTGAAGACCACATTTCTTGGGCACTTAAAGATTAATTTTAGAGGGCCAGGTGTGGTAGCCTGTAATCCCAGCACTTTGGGAGGCCGAGGCGGGCGGATCACCTGAGGTCAGGAGTTTGAGACCAGCCTGGCAAACATGGTAAAACCCTGTCTCTACTAAAAATACAAAAATTAGCTGGGTGTGGTGGCACATGCCTGTAATCCCAGCTACCCAGAAGGCTGAGGCAGGAGAATTGCCGGAACCCAGGAAGCGGAGGCTGCAGTGAGTTGAGATCGAGCCACTGCACTCCAGCTTAGGGGACAGAGTGGGACTCTGTGTCAAAAAAAAAAAAAAGGAAAAGATTGTTTTTG